AAAAAAAAAAAAAATGATGTCAAGTTCTTTTCTATTCTATATTGCTATCCTTAATATTTTCAATTTATTCCCATCATTCTAACATTTGCCTGATGGTTGCTTATAGCTCCAGGTAGTAGGTTTGCTTTCAAGGCAGGAAAAAGGGGTCAGGAATGGTGCCAGGGGCTCTTCTCTCACCCTGCTTCTTTGATCAGGAAACAAAAAGAGTCCCTAGAGGTCCCCAGCCAACTCTCCCTGAGGTCTCATTGCCAAGAGTGGCTCACAGCATAAGTCCAGCTACAAGCAGGGCCAGGAAAATACTGTGCAGCTTTCTAACCTCTATACTAGGAAGCGAGCAAGGGGGAATGGATTGCAGGGCTATTGAGTCAGCCAACTGTTAGGTGTAGGGATTAACAGTTTTTTTTCTTTTTTTGAGACAGTCTCAAGCTGTCACCCTGGGTAGAGTGCCATGGCATCACACCTCACAGTACCCTCCAACTCTTGGGCTTAAGCGATTCTCCTGCCTCAGCCTCCTAAGTAACGGGGACTATAGGCACCTGCTACAGTGCTTGGCTATTTTTGTTGTTGTTGTTGCAGTTGTCATTGTTGTTTTAGCTGGCCAGGGTCGGGGTTTGAACCTGCCAGCTTCAGTATATGTGGCTGGTGCCCTACCCACTGAGCTACGGGTGCCGCTGGGATTAATAGTTTCTATACATTGCTCTGCAGTTTGGCTTTATTGAAAACAGTAAAATTTAGTTTTTTACTATGAAGACTTCTGTTTTAATTTTGAAGTCAGGACTCTCTATTGGGCAGGGTGTGGTAGTTCACGCCTGTAGTCTTAGCTGGAGGATTAGAGGGAGGCTGAGCCAAGAGGATTGCTTGAGCTCAGGAGTTTGAGGGACCAGCCTCAGCAAGAGCAAGTCCCCATCTCTACTAAAAATTAAAAGAAAATTAGCCAAGTGTTATGGCGGGTGCCTGTAGTCCCAGCTATTCAGGAGGCTGGGGCAGGAGTCTGAGGTTGCTGTGAGCTAGGTTGATGCCGCAGCACTCCTGTCTGGGCAACACAGTGAGACTCTGCTTCAAAAAAAAGAAAAGAAAGAAGTGGGGGTATTTAGCCCAGGAGAGAAGATATGAGGAGGAATGAAATCTGTAAAGATTTCAAGGCAGGCATACGTCTACCGTAATTAGACTAGTATCTGCACCTGGAAGTTACAAGGCAGGCTTACACTCAATCTAAGGACAAACTCTCCTCACGGAGCAAAAAGTTCTCAAGCTAAGGCTGATGGATAAATTGGGACTGAAGCTACATGATGACTTCTCCCTGAAGGTGGTGGGGGCTCGCTTCAGGCTAAATCACTTCTGAGGCTTCTTCTAACCCTTTGCATATCTGCTTTTATGTAAAAATGGAATAAAGTATTTGCTTTTTATGAATCTTGCAAAACAGTTTGTATTTGTAGTGATGTGCTCTTGTGTATTTTTTTTTCTAAAGGAAATTGTATCTGGAGAACATTATGATTCTGACATATACGATCCTTTTTTTATAAAGGAAAAGGGCCCAGACTCTAGAAAGGTATAGTAGGTTTATTATTTTTATTTATTTATAATTCATAGCTCTGGAGTTGGGGGAAACTGAGTCAACTTAGAAGTCTCGTAGTTATTCTCTATTCATTAAAAAAAAACAAATCCACAAAAGCATTTCTCCTGAGTTTCAAAATAGGAACCCAAAGTTCCTGTTGATCTCTGAGGGAAATCTACATTGTGAACAAGGCATGCATGTGTGTGATAATTTGTTCATTCATTCATTCATTCATTCCCATTCAGCATACTTGAAGCGCAAGAGGGAGAGAGAGACCCATGAGTATTGTCAGTCCACTGAGCACTGGAAGGTCTAATAGTTGAGCTTGCAATGAGTTCCGATTTCTTTTTTTTTTTAATGTTTCTTTTTTCTTTTATTTATTTATTTTTATTTTATTTATGTATTTATTTTTGTTGTTGCAGTTTTTGGCCAGTGCCAGGCTTGAACCCGCCACCTCCAGTATATGGGGCCGGCACCCTACTCCTTGAGCCACATGTGCTGCCCTATGAGTTCTGATTTCTAAATTGCTAATATATGAGCTAAAATGGAGAAATGAAGGTTTTGGGTTTTGCTCCTGTGTAGCAGATATAGCCACTGATGTTATTAATTTTTAAAACATATGGCTC